AATTTTGTACAATTTCTTGTAGCAATTCTCTAATACTTTTATAAAAGTATAGGTGGAATCAAGGCCTTCAAAGATTTATTAACTTCTTCAAGAATAGCATCAAGGCCTTGATTTTAATAATGATATCCTGATCGTAAAATAACTGAGTAAGATTCTATATATTGTTTGATTTTAGGTTTTAATCATGTTGGTTGCTCTTTATAAGTTATCTCAATTAGGTGGTATAACCAAACCACACTAAAGCAAACATATATCAAGCAATATTTACCAACAATGGCCAGTTGTTTCTAACCTCTGTACGAAAATTAATAATGAACTAAAGATAAACAAGTGTCTACAATAATGATTAGCTAAAAAATTTTATATAAAATAATTTATTTTTTATTTAAGATCTTACTTGTTTAAATTTTAGCTTATATTTATAATCATTTTGTTTTTTTGCCCAATCTAGATAGCCATCAGCCAAAGGATTTTTAGTTGCAACTATATATAACTATAATAATTCACATGTAATAGCATGTCAATAAATGTTACAAATAGAGTTCCATAATTTGTGATAATTGGTACATTTTTTGAAATATCCAAGTTGGTTTTCTGTCCTGTATCCTTAAATAATAACAAATTTTTTGATATCAATAATCCTTAAAAGAATGTGTTAGTAAGAATTAGACTATTATATTTGAATTTTCATTAATTTTATAATAATAAGAGTATTAAAAAAAAACTATAATACCAATTAAGCTCTACAAATGCTTTGAGCATATTTATTTCTTTATATAGAGTACTAGAAATCAATATGAGCTATGAAAAGTCTTTTTTGATTTTTGAGCTAGGTTATAAGGAATGCTATCACAAGTACCAGGTAGCTACTTTCATTCTCATTAGTTTATTTGCATAATATTCTGTATATGCTCTAAAACTTTTTTTACATTACTTATTAAGTTAGAGTTAAATTTTAATAAATCCGGCACATACATTTCTAGAACAATAATATTGTTGTTAGGTTCTGATCATTAAATAATACTAATATGTTCAAAACAAGAGCTTTTTTGTTTATAAGTATATAAATGAAACTTTATTATAAGAGATTTGGATTGAAATTAAGAGGCTGTGTTATTAATTCATACAAGTTCATTAGCAGATTCTGCTTGTAAAGTAGCTAATATATCTAATTTCTTATTATATTTAAGGCATATACTTTTTTTATTATCAATATTGGTTATATTGCATTTTTTATATCATTTTGATTGACTCTTAGCACTTCTTTGATTTTTTATGCTTTAATCAATAATATTTGTTATTTGATTTTTTTTAGTTATAAGATCTTTTAAAATTGAGGATAAGTATATTTTTAATTTTAATTCATGTTCTTTTTTCATTTCTGGTGTAAGATAATATAACTTTTTGTATTCTTCATCAGTTAATAAGTCATTAAACCAAGGTGCAATTACAAATTGAGTCAAATTATTTTTGTTCATATTTAAAGCAACAAAGCTTGTAACTGTGTGATAGATAACTGTGTTATATTCACAATCAAGATAATTATATTAACCTTGTTGTTTATTATCAAAGGCCAGGAATAAAGGTCCTTTAAGTAAAGGTTCACTTTTGATTGCTAATGATTCTAGCCAATTAACGAATTTAGTATAACTTTTAGAACTAACTATATGATTATCAATATCAACAATTGTTTTAGATTAGGATAGTGAATATTTTATTTCTGATATAGCTAGACTTATTTCTAATATATAGCTTTTATATCTTGACCTATATATTGTATCAATTGCAACTATTTTTTTAAAGATTTTTTTATTTGATGTATAATCACTATAATTATTACTATCATTATAAGTAAGAGTATCAATAAAGTTAATAATAACCAGATTATAGTTAGCTAACCAATTATTGGGTATAAAATTTAATAAGTTATTAAGTGAAAATCACTCTCTATTAAAAATTAATAATTTGATATTATTATAAATATTTTGGCATTCTTGGTTTGCAATTTGGATTATGGAATCAAAATTTTTTTTTAACTATTATATCAGGTTTTCCATTTATATTTTAGTGCATTATTTTGTTTAGTTAGCTCTTTATTTATTTTATTTAGTTCTTGAACATGTTTCCAACTTTCTATTATATAGTCATATATATAATCTAATTATTTTTTAAGATCTTCTATTTCATTTATTTTTGAGTTTAACTGTAATTAAAGTAGATAAACACAATATTCAAGAGTAATATTAGATACTTGTATACCAACCTCATGAGTTTTCTGATTAATTTGTTTTTTTTTTTTTTTAATATTAAGGTGACCATTTAGGCCCTTGGCACTTTATTAGTACAAGTGGTTAGGCCATATATTTGAAGACTTGACCACATGTTATATCGGTATTACAAGAGTACAACTAGCCATATGTACAACTTTTGGTTATCTAATTTAAGTAGTCCGCCCAAAGGTTCTACATTAGCCCATACCTATAGCCTAACTAGAAAGCTATCTATTTAAACTCTTTGGTACCATCTCTGTCCCATGCTTCCTTCTAATATACCCTTTCAGGGTAATTTACCATTAAAGACCCTAAGACTTTAGCCAAACCAACACTCATTCCTTTCGGAATAGGGGGGGCATTTATCCTTGTAGTAAACCTAACAGAATGGTACATGTCCCACACATGTGCTCACCTGCATGTTCGGTAACATTTCTCTTAACTAGTACCTGCTATGCTGCCATCACCCGGTTCATATCTCAAGCTATCTTTGGATGCTGCCGCAACCCGGTCCGTGTCTCAAGCTACAACCTTCCTAATTTAGTTCCCTGTTACTTACTCTTGCCCTTGCAAGGTTTACAACAACCCCAGTACCCACATTTAAACCTTCTTCTTTCCCAGATTCTTTATCAGTCTCTCCTTTACTTCCAGCTAGCAACCCGGAAGAGTTGGTCTGCCCAGGCTCTAAGTGCCTCACGGTCATCCTTCCCTTGGTATATGCTTCCAAAGCACATGTCCTTTTCCTCCGGTTGGCATTCTGGTGGTTTGGCTGGTATGTCCCCTCACTAAAAGACCTGGTCGTTCAGTTCTCTAATCTCAGTCTCCGGTTCCGAATCTAGCCTTCCTGTAATACTGTTAAAGATCACTGCTACTTTCAACTCAGAACTTGCCAAACAGGTTTTCAGTTATTCTGGTTCCCTGGATTTATTGCGCCAAAGCTCTCATTCGAGATGGTGTGACCAAGGTTATAGATATCTAAGCCCAACTGATCATTGATAACCATTAACTATATTACAGGCCTAATTTTCAAAATCGTTGTCTGTGGGATTCGAACTCTAGACCTGCTGCTTGGAGGTGCAGCAACCCCACCACTTCACTAGATCGCCACACCCTTTTCTGATTAATTTGTATACCAACTTTGCACATATTTTTTTTAGTATCTGTTTCATGTAAATACTGAGCCTGCTTTTTAATTATTCTATTATCAAAATCATTACTATTTATTTGCCACTTTTGATTATTACATCTATTTATTGAAATTTTTGAACCTACAAGTATTAAATATAAAAAATCAGATACAATAATTTGATTATAATGCTTTTCATATAAAGAAAAATCTTCTAAATGCATTTGAATTTGAACCAATTCAAAAAAAAATTATTATATAACAGAAGGTGATCTTGGGATAATTTACTACTTGTATATCATATAGGTTGTGAATTTTTAGTTTTATATTCTAATAAGCCCAAATTTTTATATAAAGGAACTAGATTAGCAAAGGCGCAGGTAGATCCTTCACTCGTGGATATTGTTTAGCTTGGTTAGCTTGATTAGCTTCCACTAATGAATGTAGATATATAGTTTAATATTAGTAAATCTTGATCTAAGAATGATAAATAAATTTATTACATACTGGTCTTAATTCTTATAATGATGATGAAATTTCAAGTATTTCTAAACCAGCAAAAGTTTACGTAAGACTAGTGGTTGTATGATATTAGAATGGTTATAATAATAAAAAAGTAGAGAAACCAGTGTTAACAAAGTAAAGATCAGGGCAATTATTATTATTATTATTATTATTATTATTATTGGCATATTTCTAATAGTTAAAAAAAAAAATATTGCTTTAATAAATTTGTATTTTAATAAAAACCACTTTTTGATATACTTATAAATATCAAAGACGAGTTGATTATGGAAAAGTTTTAGCTGATTGTAAAACTACTTGCTTCAAACTTCTTAATTTTATAAGGGCTCATCATATAAAGACAATTCGTGTAAATCTATCATGTGAAACGTTCATAAAAAATTTGACGATCAATTTCTAGATCTTATGTTTGTGTAACTAATTATTCTAGAATAATCGGTTACATAATAGACCAAATATGGAAATATCCCTGACTGTATGATTATCATATTCTGATAATCGACAATTGATCATCCAGTGATCAGTGATCATCTGTTTCATTCGGATGGTTTCTTGGTTAGATTTAACCTTTTCTTGAGAATGATTTTCCGGTGATTTTCATTGTATTTCCCTGTAGACGTAGTTCGCTGTTAGTAACCCATCTTCCCACTCCCCGACGCATCCCATTAGACATAAGAATTTATTAAATGACGCATAATAACTTGGGGAATGTTGATTATCTCAGTTAAAACATATATTTACGTATTAGTAGTCAAATTTTTTAAATTTTGAGGATTTCGCAAATGCGCCGTAATGCTTTAATCATTATGCAAAATAATTCTGAATAAAATTAGTTCCGCCTAAGTTTCGATCTCAAAAGTTTATAATGTACTGTTTAATAAACAATAAAAATTAAAATATAGTAAAATTATTGTAATAAATAAAGATTAAAGCGTCATTAACACGCTATTAATTTCCTATAACTAGTATTAGATTGAAATTGGTAATCTTATAAGAACCAGAATACCTATACCTAAACAGTGACAATAATTAGATTTCTTTAAAAAAAAAAACCTATAGAAAATTCAAAATTTTAAATAATGGACAGAAAAGTTACATATTGTTGCTTAATTGTATCTTTAGTTTTCTTTATGGTAGGACTGGCTCTAGTTATCTACTTTAGATTTTCACCTGCCTATTCACCTACAGCAAAAACCACTACACCTCACTCAACAGTTTCTTCTTCCCAAACTCATAAAGTTACTCTGCAACCAACGACTTCCAGCCCTAACCTTCCTTTTGCGAATCCCTCTAGTTCTAACTTCTCACCTGTCTTTTCACTTACTTCTTTCACACCTATTCTCCCAATAGAAGCCACAACATCTATCTAGCTCTAGCTCTAAAAGTACTATTCCCGATAATGACTATGCATTTATTTTCCCAGCCCAACCCCTGCTGTTCCGAGTTCTGGTGCTGCTGCTCCGAATACTGGCGCTGCTGTCCCGACTACTGCTGCTCCGGCTACTGCTACATCCACATCTTATTCTACACCCACATTTTATTCTACATCTGTAGTCCAATATCTTGATACAGGAAAAACTACGATTATTATTTTATCAATTTTTACGGGACTTTATTGTATAAATTCTGCTATTTTTATTTATATTCTTTGCCGTTTTCACATACCAAATCAGGTAAATACAACAAGTACAGTTCGAAATAACCCACTTGAAGATTAAAAGCATATATGTAAAGGAAGGCAAAAAGAAACAATGACTAAAAAAACTGACATATCTATTAACTAGCTGGAGCTGAGGGAAGTGAGGTGGAAGCCTTTCAAGTAATACTCTACGAAATCTTTGGCTGGAGCTGAGGGAAGCGAGGTGGAAGCCTTTCAAATAATACTCTACGAAATTTTCGAAAATGTCCAGTTCCCGGTTTAACTGATCCAGATTTTAGGTTGCATATAGGGGTCTGCAACCGTGCTCGTGCCCATGCCCAACAGAAGGCATAGGCATGGGCATGGGCACGAGCATAAAAATTTGGCACGGGCATGGGCACAAAAATTTGGCATGGGCATGGGAATGGGCACAAAAATTTAATATTTATTAATTAATTGTGCCTGGCACCTTTTTGGCACCTTTTTGCCTAGCATATTGTGCCGTGCCTATATAGTACCTGGCATTTATGCCCATGCCCATAAAAATGCCTAGCATTTGTACCAATGCCCATAATAATGCCTGGCACTTTTGTGTCTTAGACATGGGCATGGCATGAGGCACTAGTGCTTGACCTGGTGCCAATATGCCTGTCATGCCTAGAGTTGCGGATGAAACTAATTAATTTCACCAAAAAACTGGTGCACCATTGAAGATTAGTCTCATCTATAACTTTAGTTTTACCATCGATGCACCAGTTTCGCCAGTTTCACCTGCAACTCTAGTCATGCCCACTTGCAGACTCCTAGTTGCGTATCCAGAAATTGAACCTAAATCGGGCTCAATATCTGAATACCAAAATCTAATAAAGAAACGTGCACTTAGTGAGGTATTGCATTTAGGGAGGTAAAAATCTATACCGGTAGGCGTAATATTAGTTGGGCCCAAGAGAAGGCGTGCATTTAGGGAGGCTTTTAATAGGACGTGTGGCTGCATTTAGAGGGTCTGACTGTATCATCATAAAAATATGTCAAAAAATACATTATACGGTAATCAAAATTTTATTGTAATCACAATAAAAAATGAAGGTAGAAGACGACGAAAAAGTTCTATATCTCAGGAATGAAATCTTAAATTTCGTGACTGTTAGATAGGTGGCCAATAGACATTGAAATGTAATTCAATGAAAAAAAATACATATGTAAAGGCAATGGTGCTTTTATTCATATGATACTGCAAATAAATTTTATGATTGAGGCTTTCAAAATTTTGTGAAACAAAACTGACAAAAAAAAATATAATATAAAAAGATATATACAGTAAGACCTCCCTAAGTGCACACTCTGTAAGTGCACTCCCCATGTAAATTCTCTCTAAATGTACGGCATAACTTAGCCCCAACTTATAAGAGCACTATATATTTTGTTCTCTATAAATACACACTCTTTAAGTGCACATTTTGCTTTTTTTTTTACTATGGTCCCGAGGGTGTGCACTTAGGGAGGTCTTACTGTATTTGAATATCGTCAATAGTAGTAATGCGGCTTATATAAAAATGAGATTCTAACCACAATCTCGGATCTCGTTAAGTACGCTAAATTAAATTTTTTAATAATTTTTGAAATCAGTTGCTACTCTTTTTTTTTCTAGCTTTAACAAAAGTTAGAGGAAATCTTTACGAATCTAATGTAGAGCTTTTTTCCATGACATATAATAAGTCTGTCTTTTTGAAGTAAACTTAAAGCTTTATATATTAATCATTTATAAGAGAAATTTTAACTCTCAATACCCCGGATACAATCATGGGGGTATACAAGTAGGGTGGGTGGCACAGAGGTCACAGGCATGCCAACATGGCATGCCAATAGTGGCATGCCAAATAGTCTATAGGCATGCCATTTATATACAGTCAAACCTCTTTATAGTCACCTCCTATATAAGCACATTTTCTTTATAAACTTATTTTTTTAAAAACAGT